GATTTTCCCACAGGATTTGGGATCTGGGATCAGACTTTTTCCCGCAAAATTTGGGATTTGGGATCTCCTCCATGTTGGAGCTTTTCCCGCGGGATTTGGGATTTGGGATCAGACCTTTTCCCACAAAATTTGGGATTTGGGATTGGAGCTATTCCTGTAAAATTTGGGATCTGGGATCAGAGCTTTTCCCACAGAATTCTGAATTTGGGAAAGGAATTTTCCCACAGGATTTGGGATTTGGGATGGGAGTTTTTCCTGCGGGATTTGGGATTGGAGCTTTTCCCACAGGATTTGGGATCCGGGATTGGAGCTATTCCTGTAAAATTTGGGATCTTGGACAGGAATTTTCCCACAGGATTTGGGAACTGGGATCGGAGCTGTACCCACAGATTTTGGGATTTGAGCTCTCCTCCATGTTGGAATTTTCCCCCAAGATTTGGGATCTGGGATTTGGGATCAAGGATTTTCTCCCTGCCAGAGCTTTCCCTGCAGGATTTGGGATTTGGGATCGGAGCTTTTCCCATGGAATTTGGGATTTGGGATCAGAGCTTTTCCCATTGAATTTGGGATTTGGGATCAGAGCTTTTCCCACAGATTTGGGGATTTGGGATTGGAGCTTTTCCCACAGGATTTGGGGTTTGGGATCAGAGTTATTCCTGTAAAATTCGGGATCCAGGATGGGAGCTTTTCCCACAGAATTGGGGATCTGGGATTGGAATTTTCCCACAGGATTTGGGATTTGGGATCTCCTCCATGTTGGAGCTTTTCCCGCAGACTTTGGGATCTGGGATTGGAATTTTCCCACAGAATTTGGGATCTCGGATCTGAGCTTTTCCCGCAGGATTTGGGATCTGGGATCTGAGCTTTTCCCGCAGGATTTGGGGTCTGGGATCATCGGAGCTTTTCCCGCAGAATTTGGGATCCGGGAAGTGCTTGGAGCTCGCGACTCACCGGGAGAGGTTTTTTTTGGGATAAGAATCACGGAAAACCAGCTGGAAGCACAGCTGGAATGGGATGTGGTGAGCGAATTCCCGGGATTTTCAGCATTCCCGGGATTTTCAGAATTCCCGGGATTTGCAGCATTCGGCTCTGTTCCCTCCCGGGGTTTCTCCTCTGTTGCCGCCTCTGGATGGATCCGGGCGATTCCCGGGAATTCCTGGTTGGGCCTGGAGCGGGATCCGGCCTTGGGGTGCTCCCAGGGGATTTAGGGATCTGTTTTGGGATCTGTCGCCATCTCCATGTCCAGGGAATGGGATCTGATCCCTGGGAATGGGATCTGATCCATGGGATCAGGATCCGATCCATGGGAACAGGATCCAATCCCTGGGATCAGGATTCAATCCATGGGAACAGGATCCAATCCAGGGGAACAGGATCCGATCCATGGGAACAGGATCCAATCCCTGGGATCAGGATCCAATCCCTGGGATCAGGATCCAATCCAGGGGAACAGGATCTGATCCATGGGAACAGGATCCGATCCCTGCCATCCAGACCCACCCCATGGATCAGGATCCATCCCATGGGATCCCCCGGGATCCCCCGCGCTGACCCCGACATTCCCAGGGGGAAGGACCTGGAGCATTCCCGACTTTCCAGCCATTCCAGAGAACCCCCAAATCCCAGGATCCGGAGCCGGGCCCCGTTTTCCCGGTTTTCCTTCGCTCCGAGTGCTGCAATTCCCAGGGAACGGCGCTCGGAGCTGCTGCCCGGGATCCCCCGGGATCCCCCGGAATCCCCCGGGATCCCCCGGCTGCTGCCTTTTTCCAAAACATCTCCGGGACTTTGATCCCCAGGAATCTCTTGGGATGCTCCGGGAGCTGCTTTTCCCACAGGAATTCCTGGAATTTACCCCAAAATTGGGATGGGGGGGGGTTTTTTTGTGTTGTTTTTTTTTTTTCCCGGGATTTTAACAAGGATCGGCTCCGCTCATCCCGGAATTCCTGCTCTGGCATCCCAAATTCCCCGGGATCCCGAATTCCCGCTGGGTTTCCCAAAGATCCCATGATCCCAAATTCCTGCTGGTTCTGCGCGAATATCCCACGATCCCAAATTTCTGATGGTTTTTCCTGAATATCCCGTGATCCCAAATTTCTGATGGTTCTTCCCGAATATCCCACGATCCCAAATTCCCATTGTTTATTCCCAAATATCCTACGATCCCAAATCTCAGCTGTTTGTCCCCGTCCGTGGGGCGATCCCGAATTCCGGCTGTTTGTCCCTGACTGTCCCGGGATCCCAAATTCCTGTTGGTTTTTCCCAAATATCCCACGATCCCAAATTCCAGCCGTTTGTCCCCGTCCTTGGGGCGATCCCAAATCCCAACTCCCGAATCCCAAATCCCAACTCCCGAATTCCCAAATCCCAACTCCTGAAATCCCAAATCCCCACTCCTGAAATCCCAAATCCCAACTCCCAAATCCCAAATCCCAACTCCCGAATCCCAAATCCCAACTCCCAAATCCCAACTCCTGAAATCCCAAATCCCAACTTCTGAAATCCCAAATCCCAACTCCTGAAATCCCAAATCCCAACTCC